TATATTTCTATGCTTCAAGTGTTGTTCCAAGGCTTCCCTTGGATGTGTTGGAAATCATCTCCCATGCCCTAGGCTCCTGGGACTGAATGGAAGTTCCTGGTCCAGTTAGGCCCTCAAGCCCTCCCATGCCACCTTCAGTGTTTCAGGTAGCTGGGCAGGCACCTAATCACTGTGGATGATGGGTTGAAACTCTTCCTGGGTGAAGACCAATATCCTGGAACTCACTTCACCTACTCTCAAATCTTGTAATTGAAGAAGGTCACTGGGTGTAATATAGTTGGTCCACAAAACCTCCCAATGCTAGTCTAGTGTGCCTGGCCTCTGGATGCATCCTTGAGCTCCGGAAGAGATGATCTTGAAATCTCCTGGGGCTCAGTGTCACGGAAATTTACCTCTCCCACCACTGAGTTTCCCAGTTTGGGAGAAGGTCACTGGGCATGTCCTGGGCAGGCCTTAAATCTGCCAAGCACAGTGCAGTGTGGCTGGGCTCTGGGCAGGTCCTTGAGCTCTGGAAGAGATGATCTTAAATCTCCCCAGGGCTCGGGACAGCACACGGACTTACCCCAGCCAGCTGTTTCCCAGTTTGGGAGGTCACTGGGCATGTCCTGGGCAGGCCTGAAACCTGTCAAGCACTGCCCAGTGTGGCTGGGCTCTGGATGGGTCCTTGAGCTCTGGAAGAGATGTTCTTAAAGTCTACCAGGTGCTTGGGATAGCGCAGATTCACTCCAGCTGCCTGCTGAGTTTCCCGGTTTGGAGGACAGTATAACTTCTGTATCTGTGTATCTGTTGGCAGGGACATAGGCTGATTTTAGGTCAGTTTATATAAACATTACTAAGAGAAAACCATTGTTATACATAGAAGATTAGATTCTAGTTTTATATTAGCATATCAATGTTTGATTTACAAAACCCTTTAAATTATTTTACTTATAACCAACTCACATATACAAATATGCTTTCTTCTCTACAATCTTTGTTGACTTCATGTAATTTTCTTTCCTTAACTTTCTCTCTCCTTTTTATTTTTGTAATCTAGTAATTTTAATTCAGAATACCATGTTGTTGCACTATAAGAATTCTTTGTATCCAAAAATATTTTCTCATACATATAACTTTATATTTCCTCCAGTGTCCTATTTACTGATTCTTTTTTTATCACAAGTGTTATGGCCACTTGTACTTTTTTTCTTTTTGAGACAAAGTTTCATTATGTAATTCAGGCTGGACTTGAACTCCTTTTGTAGCTCAGCTGGCTTTGAGCTTGCAGTGATCCTCCTGCTTCAGCCTTCTGAGTGCTGGTATTACAGATGTGTGCCACCATGTCTGGCCTGCCATTTGTATTTTAAAACACATTAGAAAATCACCAACAGAGTGAAAAGAAAACCCATAGAATGGAAGACAATTTTAGCCAGCTGTCCTTTAGACAAAGGACTTATATCTAGAACATATAAAGAATTGAAAAATATTAGCCCCCTCAAATTCAAAAACCTACTCTAAAAATGGGCATTTGAGATGAACATGTATGTCTCAGATGAAAAAATAAAATGGCAAACAAATACATAAAGAAATGTTCAACATCATTGATTATTTGAGAAATACAAATTAAAACAACATTGAGATTCCATCTCACTCCAGAAAGAGTAGGTGCCATCAAGAAATCAACTGGTAACAAATGTTGGTGGGGTTGCGGGGAAAAAGGAACACTGCTCCACTGTTGGTGGGAGTGTAAGCTGGTGCAACCAATGTAGAAATCAGTTTGTGGAGATTCCTCAGAAAACTAGGATTGGAGGTCCCATTCAATCCAGCTATTCCCCTTCTGGGTATTTTCCTAGATAAGTTGAGAATGTCATGCCACAGAAATATATGTGCACCCATGTTTATAGCAGCACCATTTGTAATAGCTAGATCTTGAAAATAATCCAAATGACCATCAGCTACAGAATGGATAAAAAAGATGTGATATTTTTATACAATAAAATATTACTCAGCTATAAAAAGGATAATCTTGAGGCTTTTATAGGTAAATGGAGGTGACAAGACTATACTCATAAATGCAATACATCAAACTCATATTTATAAATATTGTATGGTCTCCCTAGTGTAAAAATAAATAATACAAGTAAAAAACTGAAAGAGTAATAAGATTAAAAATGTAAAATAGATATTGTAATAATGAAAGGGTAAGAAAGTGCTCAAAAAAAAGAACAACTAGGGTAGGGGAAAGGAGAAAAGGAAGAAAGGAAAAGATTTTATGTATGTAAGTATGTATGTATGTATGTATGTACATATATGTAGGAAAGATAGATAACTACACTACAAATCGAAAGTAACAGTTTGTTGTCATTGTTTGATTGTTTGATCATTTTTTTATGCCTGGATCTTGTAACATGAACAACTGTTTCTAAGATAACAATATGCAATGTATTAACTAGTGTTAATTTCCTATTTTTTTTGAAATTCTGTACCATTTTTATCCTTTTTTTTGTTTGTTTTGCTTTAAAAAAAACACATTTGATGCATGCTTTCCTTTGGTCTCAGAGTTAACTTACAGATGTTACTGCTCCAATTATTAAGACTAGCTGAACAAAAGACTTTCAAATGACCTTGAACAGTAAATTATCTTTGTTGCAGCAGAAAGCAGGAAGATCAAGTTAACCCTTATGGTTCAAGAACTTCCAAAGGTTTCTAATAACTATTAATAGAACTATGATATGATCCAGCTCTTCTACTCCTGAGTATATAGCAGAAGGGAATAAAATCAGCTTGCAGAGCGGTAACTGCATATCCATGATTTCTGCACACTATTGACAATAAGGATGACATGGAATCAGCCTATATACCTGCCAACAGATACAATTTTTAAAAATATTTTTCATGTTTTACACTGTTATTACTTTTTTATCACTCAAAAACCAAATCTGCCATTTAGAGACTGTCTTGCTGTCTAAAACCTCACTTGTGTCTTTTTTGCTTTGACTAAATAAATTCACTAATTCATCAAATAGTAAGTTTATGGTGGTAATTAACATAAATTTCTAAACTTGAAAGAAGTCCAGGATCCTTTTAAATTTTTTTTGTCTTGATTTTTTTACTATATACTTTGGGTTGGCCTTGAACATATAGCAATCTTCCTGCCTCCACAGTCCAAGTGCAGGGATTATAGGTATGCACCACCAGACCAGCTGATTTTTTGTCAGTGAGTTAACCTATATAAAATTGTTAAATATAGTGCCACTAATAATCAGAAAGACTGGCTATTCATCACCTGAGAAAAATACACCTGTTATAAAAGAGAGCCCTTTGGTCCTGAAATAATGTTGTTAGTCATGATTGTTATTTTAAAAGCTATATAAAATGAATCAAATCCTCTTGTCAATTGCTAAACCTATCAAAATTACAGCTGCCTATTCTAAGTGTTTCATTATCTACAGTTCCAATTCTCTAAATCATTTACAATCAGATGCATGGGAAATACTCTAACAAGTACCACAGACAACTGTGCTCTTTCCTTAATTATTGTTGGTGAAAATTGGTAGATAATTGTTTCTTGGTTCAAAACTGTTATACTACATTTGCTTTACTCTGGTTGGTTTTGTTTTTGTGTTTCCTTTTAAAACTTTGTTATCTCTTTAAATTCTGCAAAAGTATAGCTCCTAATAAAGAGATCCAATGCTTTAAAATGTTAGCCATCACTTACAAAACATTAAAATGAAACTTAAAAATGAACTACAGGTAAGTGCAACCTAAAACTACTACTTTTAAACCCCTTCATTGTTCAAATATGACTTAAAAGGGGCTATAACATTGAGTTGTCAATCATTTCTCTTCCAATATGGGGCTAGATAAGACTATGAACTTATTTATTTGTCTTTTTGAGACAGGGTCTCACTATGCAATTTAGGCTGGCCTTGAGCTCACTTTGTAGCCCAGGCTGGTTTTGAACTTGCAACAATCCACCTACCTCTTGAGTGATGGGATTACAGGCATGCGCCACCACTCCCAGCTTGACTATCAATTTTAAAAGCATCCTAAAATGAGGGATAATAAAAACAATAGTAAGAAAAATTGATGAGCAGAGCCTTCAGAAAAACTCTCATAAGGAAAAGGGGGAAAATACAAAAACATGAGAGTGATAACGTCATGATGGAGTCACTTGAGTCAACCTCAGTAAAAAAGACAAAAGATTCAGGGGGCTTGTAGGAAAGGATCTTAGGAATAAGTACTTAATGGCAACTGTTATCAAAGACTTTGCCAAAATCATAAAACTGTCTTGCACTAACATGAGCGTAAACTATTGTGACTCTGATAGAAGCAGCTACTGATAAGGAAACTTTCAAATGACTTTGCTGATACAGCAGAAGTACATATACGTACAGTGCACATGCGCAGAGTGTTAAGTAACCAGGAAGAAGCCTTTGCCCTCTATTTGGCTTTATAGCAGGATCATGTCCTTGGGTCCAAGCTACTCTCTTTTCCCTTTAAAAAAGTCCTGTCCCTGTTCCTGATGATTCTTCTCTGTGAACTTGCCCACTGTTCAAACTGGCAGTGTATAACAAATCTCTTTCCCTACCCTGATCTGGGTAAATGCTTTACCCCATAGATAGTGGCCCTCCATATGTCATTTCTTGTGGCATTTCTAACCCCAGATTCAGACAGCAGATCCCTCTTCAAGGTGGCTCTGGTTACAGTACTCTGGGGTGTCTCTGGAAGATAAAATGAATTCCGTTCCCAAATCTAGACTTATTTTTCTGGTTTCTTACCTGTTTTGGTGAAACTCAGTAAAGGTTGTGAAATTGTCCATTACACAGGTTTGGCAGTGTCTTCACTGACAGAGATTACTGTGACTCAGTCTTTCACCTTTGTTCCCTCAGAGTGGAGACACCCTCTCTCCTGACTGTAGAGCCAACACTGCAGGCACTGGAATGTCCTATGCTGCTATCCAAGTGCTGTGGATTTTATAAACTTTTTATTTTTCTTATTGAATTCCAATGTTCTTCCAGGGTGGCTGACCTTGCTATGCAACTGAACACATGTTGCTTTGGTTCTTTGTGGAGGAGCAGGTGAGTGCTGGTTGCTTCATCTTGCCAATCTTTTAAGCTTTCTTAAAGAATTATTTTCACTATATTGTACCTGTTTCTTAGTCTTCCCTTGTTTTTTGTGACCTTGGCAGTTTTGAGGTGCAATTGTCAGGTAGTTTATAGATCCATGGTGGCTTAAACTTATATTTTTCTCATGACAAGGATGAGGTTGTGTCACATATACTATGCTGATACAGTGCCCTTCTCATCATGTATTGGAGGGTATTTGGTAAAAAGTAATGTTTATTTGGCCTTTTGGTTAAATTGATGTTTGTTGGGTTTTTCCATTGCAAAATACTTTTCTTTTCTTTTTCGTTTTGGTGTTCTAGTCATTAGAAGTTAGTGACAATACAATTTACATTCAAGAGGAGGGGAACTAAATGCTACCTGTGGAAAGTGTTGGAATCTATATGTATTCTTTGGAATTATTTGATAAGGAAAATTATTAAGAATTCATTTATTTCAGTATGCACAGACAAATTAATAAATTCTTTGGTTTATAATCTAATATTGTAATTTATTTTGCTCCTTAAACTTTCCAGCTTTAGCCAATAAAGATTAATTGAGCTTGGTTCCTGAGTCCTTTTGACATTATCCTCACCTTCATAACTTATATTGCCTTAGACCAGAGAAAAATATTTTTACAGAGAAATTTTAGACTAACTTAATAATGTACTTTATCGCCAGTTTCAGTATTTACTTATAGGAAAAATGAATTTGCATGAATCAAAAATAATCATACATTTTACAAATTGTTTCCAGGGCGGAGGAGGGAGGGAAATACCTGAAGAATGCAAAATTCATCAAACTGAGAGTTAATATCCTTGTGTTATTTTCATCAATCATATTCTGTTGAAGTTAATGACACATTATTCCCCTCTTGTTTGGAAAAATCAGCTGGCTTAGTTGTTAATTTTTTTTTTTTGAAATTTCTTGGCAAGTGAGAGTAATTCATTTGGATTATCGAGAGAAATTTTTATAGTATGATGATCTGAATTCTGATTCTCAAAAGTTGTTAATCACTGAAAATGAACTGCATCTTACATTCATATTGGCAGGGAGAATGAATTTGCTTGTTTGTTATGATTATAGATTTGGTTTCTCATCTCAGCAGATATAGAACTGAATGCCCTTCTAGTGCATCTCAAGATTGATTTGAAAGCTCAAGAGACCATTTAAAATTTGAGCTTGGGGAAGATGTAAGTATTTAGTATTATATTTGACTCAATGTCATTTGCTCAAGTATATAAATTCCTTCTTGAGAACAGAAACTTTTTAAAATATGACATTGAAGAGGCATATTTAGTCATCACTTTTAGCAGAAATGAAGTTGATAGTTGTGAATTAATATACCTACATAAAAATATTATTTCTTAGATAAGTTTTTATCATAAATGAAAATGTACTAGAAACTAAGTATGGAAGTCCCATAAAGTCCCATTCAATCCAGCTATTCTTCTTCTGGATAGTTTTCCAGGAGAATTGAAAACATCATACCACAGCAATATCTGTGCACCCATGTTTGTGGCAGCACAATTTGTAATAGCTAAGTCTTAGAAACAACCTGAATGCCCATCAACTGCTGAATGGATAAAAAAGATGTGGTGTTTTTATACAAGGGAGTACTAAGCTATAAAAGAAGGACAAATTTGAGGCTTTTATGAGTAAGGGGATGCAACTTGAGACAATACTCATAAGAGAAATAAATCAGACTTGCATGCGTAAACATCATATTGTCTCTGTAGTAAAAACGGAGAATAAGATTCAAAATGTACAATAGGTATTGTGAAAGTGAAAAGGGAAGAAACTGCTCAAAAGGAAAGAACAAAAGAAAGAAAGGAATTATATATATATATATATATATATATATATACACAATATAGCTAACTATATTACTAATCTGTTAGTTCATCAAAAAGAATGGTTTGTGTTTTCATTGTTTGATCATTTTTTCATGCCTGTATCTTGTAATCTGAGCAACTACTTTGGACATAACAATGCACTGTATATTAACCATTGTTACTCTCCTATTATGCTGATTTGAAATTCTGTGTCATTTTTCTATTTAAAATTTAAAAACTAAATGAATTTTAAAAAAAGAAAATGTACTAGAAACTTGGAAGAGGGTTGTAATCTTATGACCCTGCAGATTATTTTAAAACAATATAGGGATGAGAACACTTCCATAATTTTTTTAAAACCAGGAATTGAACTCACGACCATGCACTTGCTAGGCAGGTGATTATGCCACCGAGCTAAATCCCTGGCCCAACACTTACATAATTTTATTGCTTATTTTTTCTGACTTTACTAAGTGAAAACAAAGGGCTATTGTCTGCTTGTAGCATGTATATAAAAATTATTCCTTCATAGCAAACCTATGATTGATGTTTCCTTCCTCAGTTGTATGAATTACAAGTGGCAGAGAACAATATTACATATTATTTACTCAGATTTATGGGGAGGAAACAATGGACATTGAAAAAAAGGATGTGTTCTGTCAAGTCAACCTGTGCCAAAGTTATGAACAGAATAGATTCAATTCCTAATGCAGTCTTCAAAATTCTCCAATCTTTTCTTTTTCTTTGCCTAGTTCTAATTTGGGGCTGGGAATAGGTGTCAGGAAGAGTACAGCTTTCAAGGTCAGTATTTCCCACAGTTTGAGAACTAGGAACTGAGCCAGAGAAACAACACATGGTACATATAAAATTGATTGTATCAAGTGGGACATGGCATAAATTTGATTATTTCTATTTTAATTTAAAGAGATATGTCTATTCCCAAACTAGCTTATTCTATGTAATACCAGTGAAGAGTGGATACAACCCAGCTATTTGGAAGCATATAATTCAGTATAAACAGAAGTGTGCGGATGTAACATTGTGCTTGTGGTATTTGCTGATTTGCGCTTTTTGGTCTCCCCTTTTCCTAGGCTGCTGTGCAATGCAGGAGTGACATCTCCTAGACTCCTATGTCCTCTCTGGTTGGGAGTCACAGGCAAAAAATTCTAGAGGTCATGAGGGAGGGGAGAAGCCAGGTTTCTCTATCCTTATTTCTTAAGGCATCAAGGCAGAAGTTATTTCTTGTCTCTTGAGTGATTCTAGCTCCCCCAAAGCAGCCCTGAGTTGTTTACACTATCTGCTCCCATTGTCTTCCAGGTCCAATGGCTGGAGTCACTTCCTGTTAGTTAGTGCTGATCACTGGATGGTTTCACTGCTATTGCTTTTCAGCCATTACTCATGTGGCCAATTTTCTCTCATTGATTTATTTATTGAACTTCTATTTTACTTGATTGTAATTAATTGCTTCTGTATAAAAAAACCTATGGCAGTTTCTATTTCTTGGTGAGACTCTGTATATCACTAGTTATGCCAATGGACAGGTGGCCCCTGCTCATGTCCTTCTTAGACGTCTTTTCTGGAAGGTGCACCCAAACCCAAGCTGTTGTGAGTATTGGTTGCTAATGTCTTATGGATGAACTCTTTTCTGGAGACTCGCATTTACTCTGAGATGCCTGGGAAGCTATGCCCATCCCACCTCAGAGTGACCAATGGTCAATGAGTGATTAATGTAAAGATATAGAAAGCTCCTCATGAAAGAATAAACAAGGTTCTGAGACCACTCCAGATCTGGTATTCTCTGAAGTAATCATGGAAATCAGATTTTAACCAAGTTCGTCTTTCTTAAGTGCCTTTTCTTGGTCTGTCCTATTTTCTCTTTTCTTGACAGCTTTTCCTGGAATATTTTTTCTCAGGGACTCATTTGCGTCATAATCCTCATGATTGGCTCCATTACTGGGAACCTGAACTAAGAATATATTTACAGAAGTAATACAGAAAACCTGTTAATATAGTGAGATGACTAAATGGGGGTTGTGAACTTCAATTACAGCTCCCAACCATTAGGATAGTGATGGTTACAAACCGAAGGCGATACCAGTGACACATCTTCAGGGATGAACAGTGGTTAGAAGGTTTAAACTAAAAATAGAGTCTTACCAACCCTGTGAGGCTCTGGAGAGGCTAAATTTTATACCAAAAATGATGATACTGAGCTTGTTAGCAGTGAGTGTGGAGTCCCAGTAGTCTTCAGGAGAACTAATACCTGGGTGGTAGTTAGAAATGCAAATCTGAGCCTGGTTTGGTGGCACATGCCTGTAATCCCAGCACTGGGGTGTTAGATGCAGGAGGATTGCTGTAAGTTTAACATCAGCCTGAATTGCATAGCAAAACCCTGTCTCAAAAAGACCAAACGAAAAGAAAAAAGAAAAAGGAAAAGAAAGAAAAAGATAAAGAAATGTAAATCTGACACAAGACTAGAAATACAAACTCTGAGATTATATGCAGGCAGTGTTTCTCAGACTTGAATCGTACATAATCCATAATGGCTAAAGTATGAGGTCGTCAACAGGTGCACACTTCTTTTTTGAAAATTGCTAGAGCACATAGTCACTTGGTGCCTTAAATAGGCCTGTGAATTACAGGAAGGGCAGTGAAACTAAGAATGAGAGGAGGAGCTCCCAGCAAAGTTGCTTTACTGATGAGGTCACTGTGGGAATTTTTAAGGAAATTAGGAAATGTGTGTTTTTCTTTAAATCTTAAAACAAAATTAAAAAAGATAGAAATGATACAGAATTTCAAAAACAGGAAATTAACAGTAGTTAATATATTGCACATTGTATCTTAGAAGTAGTTGTTTAGGTGATTAAGATTTAGGTATAAAAGTGATCAAATAATCAAACAAGGAAAGCACAAACTGTTCTTTCTGATGAACTAACAGAGATTAGTAGTATAATTATCTACCTTGTTTTAGAACCGCCCAACAAAGGGGAAGGGGGAGCATTATCCGCCCCTTCCAGTGTCTCTGTGGACCTAATCACTATGTTTCTGGGTGGTACATGTATTGTTGGGGAAGTGCTGAGAGAATTCCTGTGGTTCTTTCTCTGTTTCAGACTATGTGGGTGGTAGTGTGGGCTCAGGGCA